AGTTTGGTATCTTCGGGGCCAGAGCTGCATGTCCATATCATGGAGTTGTTCTTAAGATGTTATATTGTAATTAATTATAGGAATTCCACCTATTTAAAATTAATCTTTTCTTGTTCTACGCATTTTCTTTCTGCCGAAAAAATCCGAATTTCTCTCATTCAACTCTCACGCAGCCGATGGGGAAACTTAGTGAGGTCAAAAAAAAAAAAAAAAGGATAAGAATCGAAAGAAACGTAAGCGTATTTGTGTCTGTTATAAAAAGATTAAATCTATTGCATAGAAAATTTGATTATTAGACATAATGTTATTAAGAAATTTTCATAGAATGTTATCTGAATCAAATTGTTATTATTGTAATTTGTTTGGTTGCATGAAGTAATGTTTTATAGAACCACCAAAAGCCGCAAGGCAGACAGAAATAAAACATTTTCACATTGTTGATTAAAAAGACCATCTCGTCTTTTGGTCAAAAGTTAGGCACGAAATCAAATCAAAGTTGAGCACTCACAAGTATGTGTTGCAGTGTTATGTTGAAGAAAAAAAAGTTTTGAATAGTGTTGATTTTATCGCTATTTTTTTCTCATTACATCGTAAAAAAATTTGGCAATCCTCACTGTATTTCATTAATCATGGCGGCTAATACGTGATAACTGTTCTGATTAAATAGCCTTTCTGACGCCCCGATTTTGTGCCCAACTTGGAGACTGTTGTTTTCACTAACTGATTTTTCCTGGGTTCTGAAACGTTCTGGACCTTTTTAGCACATAAGTTAGTGTCTGCTACTTGCAGAAGTAGTGGTAAAAAACTAGCCCTTTCTTCATGTTTCTTTCAAAAAGACCTGAGTATTACATTTTCGTCAAAATTTATTCATCACTGACTTCTCCAAAATCATAATTATGATCAAATGTAGCGTGGATCTAACTTTTGAGGTTCTGGATCGAGAGTACGCGATTTCAGCTTTCCAGAGTGAAAAGCCATTAAGCAATTTGCCATTAAGCAATTTCCTCTTTTTTCAAAGAACTCTGCCCTATAAAGTTAAAATTTTTTGAAGTTTCCAGTATTACACTGATTCTTGAGATATCATACCTGTTTATCAACAGTGCCTCTTTTGCCACTTCGCCATCCTCCTGCACCGGCTCCAGCAGTGAATGCCTCGGCCTGGAAAACCAACGCTAAGACAAATAGAACGCTTAAGCAGTACAGCTTTCTCATAGTGCACATTTTTCTTGCTGCTGATCTTAAAGCGCACTCACTGTCGCTCAATACGGAGGCCTTTCCCGTACAAAATGTCTGTAAACTTGGCTTGGTTTGTTCTTCGCTTTAAATGCGACGAGATACGGATCCACTCCGGGTATTTATTTCCGGCCGCGCTTCTTGTCTTAGTGGTTCCAGTGTGTCTGGCATATTGCTTTTTCTCATTATTTCAAACAAATGTAGGTATGGATTGAAAACAATATAAATTTAAAGATAAATTAGGTACACAAAGATTCCACAGATGGGGGAGAGCTGGAAAGGCTTAATTATTTAGCAAAGAGAACTTCGACTCCGTAAATAGAGTTTTTATTAGGTAAATATTATTTTAAACTGAAACGTGGATTTTTGACCGCTGATGTTTGGCATCACTTTATGGATGAACAATTATCTTTCATTTTGTAATGGAAGATAATAATGGAGAAAAACCTCGCAAATGGTTCGTCAAAAGTGTTCATGATTAAAATTTTCTATAGACCTTCACGCCCCGGGATGTTTCGCTGGAAAAAAAGAAAAATAAAAAGTAAAAATTATCCGGCCTCCAACCGAGCCAAACGGCCATTCCTTATTTCAATTTTCTTTCAGAAAATCAAAATCTACCCAGTTTGAATTCAATCAGGAGAAGAAAAAAGAAATATAAAGCAAATTTATTTAATTAAGAGATGAATATAAATAGAACAATTTGTAATGGGTCATTGTAAAACTTGTCACTGCGGCTGTAGAATTAAATGTAGATGAAAGAAATGATTTGTTGTAAATTAATTTATAGTTTCCGTGTCTTTTTCCTTTTTGTGCGTTTATAAATTTTTGTGTGTGACCTTTTACGTTGCTTCCTGTAGGCAATGAGCTTTAGTTTTCATTTCATATTACTTTTTTTTATGAAATGGACAAATAAAATACTTGTAATTATTGGTTCATTCCTAATGTAACCTGAACAACCATGTTTTCATTCATTTGTGTTTATTTTTGTCTGTTGGAAATACTATTGAAAACATTACCCGAATTCTTTCTTGTGTAATTATAGGTAGGCAAATTGCAATGAGAAATTAACGAGGTTTGGCTTTAAAATAACTGGTGAAAGGATTGAAAAAGGCTTAACTAAATCTGGGCTTTCAGTGTAACAAGGACGTGTCGCTTTTGACTGAGATTTACCGTAATCAGCGAAACAAATGGATCGATGAAAATTGTGGTTTATGGGGCATGATCTACTCACTTAATGATTATGAGGTGATGATTTGCGTGAAAGCTC